AGAGACAAAAATGCCAGTCTTATGGAGCCTAGATTAAAGTGCTGACATTTTAGATATCTTCTTATGTTACTCTAACAGTGAATGCCGTGTTGATTATTATTATGGGATATTTCATTTGGGGGAAGAAAAAAACATATGAAAGGAAATTATCTATTTACACATCCCCTTTAAAAACTGTATTTTAAAAAGGTACCAGTTTTTCCTCAAATGTACTTGAACATTTCTATAACAGCAAATGTGAAGTTTTGACTGCCTATTCAGAACTTCAATCTTGGAAAAACAACTTGATCACCAGTTTTGAATTTTGTGCTCAGAACAACTGGAAGAAGCACAGCTGTAAGCATTCAATGCTCCACGAACTTCAGTGACTAGGAATAAAAGCCACGGAAATAATAAAACTCAGCAAGGATACAGCTGAATCACATAATATGTTATAAAAAGTGAGCAGGCCAACAAGATCACAAAACAAGAAAATTTTCTCAGACAGGTAGGAGCCAAGAAAGCACCGTTTTAACACTATGTGTGGGTAGGTGGAAATGTAAATAAGGAAAGAAGGTTCTTTCCTGTGGATCCTTATGTATAACTAACCAAAAACTGTGCATATCTTAAGTTTGCGTTGGAGCTCAGAAGATAAACGGCCTTATTTAGGTTTCTTGATGGTATCACATCATGGACCCACTGTACTACTTCATTTATTAAAATTCCTTTTTCCACTGAGCCCTGTCAATGTTTAGGACAAATATAAGTGGATATAATTATTTGGTACTAGAAGAATTAATAAAATTTAATTTACTATTCAATGAAATTTAAACAACTCCAGAGATGGGTGATATAAGTTTCTTATTGCCGACTGCAATTCTTATAAATCACATAATAGACATCGATCATTAACCCACTTTGTGACTTAACCCTGTGATATAACCCCCTATAATGTTGAAGTGATGATAGACCACAAGATAATTAGACCCCAAAACATTCATTAGATAAAACATTGCTAATGGAAAAGAAATCAGTGAGTTTAGTGTGTGGGAGATTAAAAGGAACCCCACATCCTTTTAATTTCACTCAAATGAAAAGAGAAAAAAATTATCCAAATTGAAGGTTGCAGCAATCAAAAAGTTGTACAAAAAACAGGATGAGGTATAGGAAGGAAATCCATTTTCATGTTTCAATTATTTAATTGTTTCAATGTTCTTAATCATATTATTGTCTATCTGTAAAGTGCCAAACCAAATTATATTTATGTAATAAACCTTAACTAAACACGGAAACAATGTTATATTATTTGGTTTCATATTTTGTCCCTGAAATTTAAACAAGAAAATAGAAATGAATAATGAAAGTATAAAACGTATGTAAGATTTAAAACTTTATTAGACATATTTGAAAATAAAATGAACCTACACAGTGCACTGTAAAATTTTCTTTTGAAAACCTGTTCAGTACTGGAAGCCAACCCACCCAAGGATACAGAAGTTTGATATTATACTTTTGTCACACTAAATTCCATTAGCTAGAAAATAAATGATAGAACATACTGCATTTATAATCAATGCCAACAATAAATATGAAACTAGAGTTTTCATTAAAAAAATATGCTAACTCTAAAATGAATAAATACTTCAGGTTTTTTTTCCTAACCAGCTTTCTATATTTGAGGCATCCTTTTATTCTCTCTTTCAAAAAAATATCTGTTAAGGATATATGTTCTAAGTACTGATCAAGATACTTACATAGACAAATTAGCTATGTTCCTTGCTTTCAATGGACACAGTCTAGTGAAATAATATTAAAAAAAACTGCCAGCACTTTTTGTATCACATAAACAAAGTGACTCATAATAAAGTTAACTTCAATTTCTGGGTAAATTAAGATTTAAGTGTTAATAAGATTACTCTTTTTTTTCCCCAAAGATTAATGATTTTAAAAAATTTTAAATATAATTATTGTTCTTTGCCTTGGTGAATGAGGGTTACTGACTGGATTCGAATTTAATCTTTTCCTTTGATAATTAAGGCTCTTAAAGCACCTCAAGGTCCTCTGTTTGACCATAACTTCTCATTATACAGAATACGCACTTGTTAATTAGAAATATTTAAATTAAAATACAGTATTCCTCACATACAAGCAACGACTTCAGCGAGGACCTGCCTCCCAGGCTGTGTGCTGTCAGAACTGTTCCTCTCCCCCAAATGACTAGAATTAACCTACTGCCATGGTCTTCAGCCCTGTGCACCCCCCTTCACCCTAAAACAAAGCTACTGCCGCCTGGGTGAACCTTCACCAGCATACATAGAGCTTAAGAAATTTTCCTCCACTCCTGCACTACAGCAACCAACAACTGATTTCTCGTATGTAGAAATTTACGGCTTAACTAGATACCATCCATAACAGGCACTGCAAATATTACCCTTGAAATGTCTTTATTTTACAATAATCCTTATATCAACATTCCTTGCTCTCTCTCAAAAGAGACACACACACACACAAAAAAAGAAAAACACTGAAAGTATAAATTCAGTTTCACTGTATTGCATAACAGAATTTTCAACATTCAAGAAACAAAATTCCAGAAGGTATGTAAATTTAAAGTGTGATATAATAATCATAGTAACAAATTTTAGGGAAATTTTTCAAAAGTTGATAGAAGATATAAATAGTATGTAAATTAATTTTAAAATTATTTTGCCTAAAACATCATTCACAACTATAGAAATGACTGATGTACTGGTTTAGAAATAGTTTTTAAATCTTTTGATAAAATACTTTAGAAGAGCATTAAAACTTTGCTATATAAGTAAAGCATAATTCTAGATTCTTGACTTTATACCTGCCATGTCCCATAAATTATTTCAGGACCATTAGCCGTTTTAGAAAGATCATCACCAAAGATAAAAATAATCAAACATTATTTCATAAAATAATTGCCAAAATCCCATATATGTTTGAACATTGCATTACAAAGTTTTAAGCTGTGAGTTCTGTTTTGCTTTGTTACAAATGTAGCACATGTTCATAGGAAATTAATTCAAACATTATAAGTATATGAAATGAAAAGCACCACTACCCTACTTCACCAAGCCAACCCTTCACAAACCCTTCATCCAACCAACCCCCTTTCCCTGCCTTCCAGTATTTCCCTGGGGTACTAGGAAAAGATACAGCTACAGAAGTACTATTTATGTTTTATATAAAGAGATCATTTAAAAACTCCAACCAACACCAAGTACTAAGGCTCAATTGGGAACCCGAATTTGCTGGGGCATATGCTTATTTCTCTATCTTTCTATTAATACTAATTATAGAAAATGGCATTAAATATTACAAATCTATATGAATTAAGACAGCAATAATAAATAAAAGCAATCATGTTAATTGTATCCAACATCTATTTTTTAAAAGGCACTTTAATCTGAAATATCACTGAGAAGTGAAAAATAGCAAATTGTTGAAATTTAGCTTTTTATATTACCTGTCCCAGTCCATGCTGACTGACCATCAGTCAGTGTAATAACAAAACCAGATCCTAGTGTTTTCTCCCAAGTGACTTGTAGGAAATGAATTATATCAGGTTCAGATGCAAGACAGATTCTGCTTACTTTTTTCTTCATGCTGTTCACCTATTATAGAAAAATAAAATTAATATTTTTGCAAGAAACTGTGACTATCAAATAGAGACATTTTCCATACTGGTACCTCAGCTATACAAAGCACCAAGAAAATATTTTTTTATAAAAAAAGAACCTATAATACTTAAACAACTACCAAGCTTAGTAAATCATAGTTCTGCGCAATATCGATTCACCATTTTTACGGATGAAGAAAGGTGAGGCCCATAAATAGCGAATAATTTGCCTAAGTCATGCGGCTGAATAAAAACTACTATCTCCAATATGAACAGTAAATTTTCCACAAGATTCAATAGCCACTTTCTCTGTTTGGAGAAAGACTGTAAAATGAAAAAAAAAAAAAAAAGAGCGAGAGTAAGCACAAAGATTAAGAAAAGAAAATCTCAGGATCCAGGGGTTGGCAACACCCGGTCAGTCATGACTTCTCCAAGAAAGAAGCTGCCAGGCTCACTCCGCCCACTCAGACAGGAACACCCTGCTATAGAGATGTGTTACATGGAGCTATCACAGCCTAAGGCCAAAAAAACTTTTCTTTTCTGCATTTTTAAAACTTTGTATTAAAGTATTATACCCAGGGGAAAGTACACATATCAAAAATACAACTTGATGAGTTTAACATTGAATAGATCCATGTAAGCAGTGCGTAGATCAAGAAGCAGAACATTACCACCCAAGAACTTCTCATAATACCTCCCTGCCAGTCACTGTGTCCCCAAATAAACACTCTCCTCATTTCTAACAGAAATTAGGGTTTGAGAGTTTTTGTACTTTTATGTAAATATAATCTCACAGCATGTTTTACTTTCTGTCTGGTTTCTTTTGCTCAACATTATATTTGAGAAAGTCATCCATATTGTTTCTTAGAGCTGTAGATCATTCTCATGGTTGTCTAATATTCTGTTACATACAAATAATACAACTTATTTATCCTTTGTACTGGTGATAGGCAGTTGAGTACTTTCCAGGTTTTCACTATCACAGATCGTGCTGTCATAAACATTCTAGTGAATATCTATGCATTTCTGTTGGGTATATATCTCTGAGTATATAATTCTCAGTGAAATTGCTGTATCAGGCTATAAGTATGTTTAGTTTTAGTACTATACAGCCAAAAGTTTTCTAAAAGGTTTGTACCAATTTACACTTGGTATATTTGAGTTTGCTCCACATCCTTGCAAACATCTCACCTTTTTAATTTTACCCATTTTAATAGGTATATAGTATTACATTGTGGTTTTAATTATATTTCCCTGATGAGCAGTGATGTTGAGTCCTTTTCATAAATTTACTAGGTTCTTGAATATCCTGTTTTGTGGAATGCCTGTTCAATCTTTTCCTTATTGATGTCTTATTAATTTGTTCTTTATTTCTTCTTGATTTATTCTTCATATTTTGGATATGAATCTTTTTACAGATATATGCATTATGAATATTGTCTTCCACTCTGTAAGTTACCTTTTCACTCATAATGGTACCTTTGGGTGAAAAGTTCTTAATTTTAATGAAGCTACAATTTATCAAAACATTTATACTATAGTTATACTTTTTGTCTACTCTTTTGTCACTAAGATGCTCCCCTATGCTTACTTAAAAGCTTTATATTTTATCTCTTACATTTAAATCAGCAGTGCATCTGGTATTGATTTCTGTGCATTGTGTCAAGAAGGGATCAACATGCATTTTTTCAACATGAATATCTAATTGACCCAGTACTATTTATTAAAGACTTTTCTTTCCTAGGGCCGGCGGAGTGACGCATTGGTTAAGAGCTGGCTTGGGATGCCAGAGGGCCCCGGTTCGGATCCCACATATGAAGGCCAGTGACACTGCCCTCTACAGCTAAGATGCTGA